TTGATGAAAATTCTTGTATAATTCAAAGAAAAATACACAAAAATTACTGAACATATATTCAAAATGTTTTGTTTATCAAAACTTGTTTTAGAAGAAGTGTACAACAGGATATATAGACATTAAAATGTAGCACACAGTTCCTTTAAGTATTGGAACTCTTCAACTCCAGGAAAAAAAACAATAAAGTTCAAACTATGTTGCGTATGTCCTTAATATCACCTTACTTCCTGAATTTAATTTGAGAATTTAAAATGAAGTTAAATATTATATGCTGATTATTGTTTTTCTAGAATATTTGATTTTTTTAACACATGTTTCCTGAGAAATTGGTTTACTTAGTATCCCATTTATACAAATTGGCAATGGAAAAATACATACATTTCAAATTGAATTATCTAATTAATAGTGAAAGATAAATTATTAATGATACAGCAGTGGGAAAAGATGACACTGATAAGTACCATTAGCATGTATCAAAATATCAAGAGACAACTAATGATCATAGGAATTTGGTTATCTTTTGCATTTATGATTCAATGAACCACACAACGGTTTTGAATTTTCAAAAAAATATTTTTATATTTCCTTTGCACCTTGAAGTTTACCATGCTATTCATTTGATTCTCGTGTATAACTAATTTGTAGCGAAATCAGATAATCATTAGTCGTGTAAGTAAAATTTATTACAAAATAAAGTTTTGATATTGATAATGAAAGAAAACCATCCTTATCTGTCTGCTTTTTAATTTGGGTTTGGGTTTAACTTCTTTACCTTTACTAACCGATTGCAATATACAACCATCTAAAGTCATCAGCAGCTTCTAGTGTCAATCTGGGACAAGAATAATATTTCCATGAGCAAAGAAAGAGGCATTTTTCCCCTTGAATTCTGCGTTGGTATAACCACACTATACATGTCTTACACTATGATATGGAGAAAGAAGATGATCCTAGTTGTATGCTTAGTTTTCCAGGTATAGAATGTATGCCATCTAGTTAACTTCAGTTTCCTTGTGTGTTTTTTTTTTCTAATGTTACTAGTATATGTGTCTGTTTCTCTAAGCCATTGTTGTTCTTTTTTCCTCCTGTATAACATAATTTAATTTTGCTTTATGTTTTCAGTTCACGTTTTGGGAACTGCATTAAGAGCTATAATTATAGCTTTTGTTGGACTTTTATTATTGAGTATAGCTGCAATATTCATATACAGTGGCGCCGCGTTTATCCGGACGCCATTTATCCGGACGCTTCACCATCCGGATGATATTTTTTTGGAACCGATTTTTTCAACGTTATTTTGTCTCATTAATCTGGAAATTCGCGTTCCGTATCCGGACGGTCAATTTCTACTACAAAACGTAATATTTCATTGAAAAATGGCTCGTTTATTCGGACGGTAATTTTTCAAGAAACGACTTTCTCACACTTTTCTTGCACTCGTGTTAATTGTTGTAAAAACATTGGCCATGCAGTCAGTTTGAAGGCGGTTACCTGTGACCTACAAACAATAGCGTCTATAATTAGTATGTGTTTACCCCAATTCAGTCACACGTTTATCTTTAGTATGAAGCAAAGAATTTAGCTTATACTGTGCATTAATTAAATGATAATCCGTTCAAATTTATATTGCTAACCGTATATACATCGGTAAATTGATGAGAATTTTGGAGAGTTGTAAATAAAATGAACAATAAATAACGAGCGATTTCGTAATGCTCTTTATCATGTCGATTGTAGTTTAAAATACGAATCTATTTCTAAAAACGTTACTCTATTTCAAACGCTTTTTCCCACAAGACAGTTTACAAAGGTACATATTTGAAGAAACATCTCTGTTTAATGTACTACCGTTTACAAACGTTCATTACTTTAGAAAGGATATATAAAACTGGCGTTACGTACAGAAGTTGATTACGTTTTTCAAGGTATTTTTAATGATGGGAATTCAAACTTTTTTTTCTTTAATCAATTACTGCTTTTAAAACAATAAACCAAAATATAATTTAAAAGTTTTTTTTTTCTTTGCTGTCACATTTTAAACAAGAATGTGCATATATACATGCTTAAAGAGTGTTTTTTGAGATGTAATTCAATTATCCGGACGATTCATTTATCCGGACGATTTCGTTGGGGACAGAGACGTCCGGATAAACGAGGCGTCACTGTATAAAAGGTGATAGGAAAACCTTGATGTCCAGGATATTTTAAAATTTGTAAATTCATTGTAATTGAAGGAATCAAATGTAGTGGTAACAATATTTTGTAGAATTTGCATTGTTACAAAAGACAAAAAATTAACTGCACGATTCCAGATCGCCAGAACCAGCAACCTTTACCCAGATCCAGAAGTCAGTACATGTCCTATTACCACGGAACCTGAATATACATATGTTGATAATCGAAATACACATACAGGTAGCGTTGAAGCTGTAACATAAATTCAGTATGAAGATGTTTGTGATGAAAATCACTACAATATTTTGGGAGAATGTAGAAATATGACTTCAGACTATGCTGAATCTAATCTTTAAGACTATTCAGAAAATGTCAGTGGAATATACAGTAGTACATGTAGAGGAAAAGTTTACATAACAAACATTGAATCAAATGATTGAGAGTGTTTCATATGAAGAATCTATCTTAATATCCATGTCTTTGAGGATAATGGTTATCGAAAATATTTTATGCAGAATATGAGTTGGTTGGTCATATACAATGTTTGAAGGCAATTTTAGGTATTAATACCTTGAATAAGAATTAATCACTGACTTTGTAAGGTCATTCTCTAAAAGTTAAGTTCATATGTACCAATTGTGCCCCGTTTTTAGCAGATCTATTTCTGTATTCATATGAAACAGAATTTGTTCAAAATCGTTTACGTGAAAAGAAGAAAACACTTGCTGTGGCCTTCAACTCGACATTTAGATATATCGACAACGTATTGTCAATTAACAATAGTTATTTCCATTCTTATGTCGACACGATATATCCCGGTGAGCTTGAGATAAAAGATACCAGTGTCTGACACATCTATTTCATATTTGGATATTTTATTAGAAAAAGACATTAATGGTAATCTATCAACAAAGCTTTATGATAAACGTGATGACTTTAACTTTTCAAACGTCAACGTCCCTTACTTAAGCAGTAATATACCTTTATCACCTTCATACTTGGTTTATCTCTCTCAGTCGATTCGATCCGCTAGAGCATGATCTACGTATGAACAATTTCTAAAACGAGGTAAGATATTGACAATCAAGTTGATGATACAAGAATATCAGCAGTCCCGTTTAAAGTCATCATTTCGTGAGTTCTGTGATCGATACAATGACCTTGTCAGCAAATACAATCTTTCACTAAGTGAAATGCTGACTGACTTTTTTCATACTTATTGTTAGACAATTATTTACACCCTGAATTGTCGATTTCTCCTTTATTTCCCGATCATAACAAGGAACACACGGCGGGTGTGACCGGTCGGCAGGGGATGCTTACTCCTCCATGGCACCTAATCCCACCTCTAAATTTTGAGGTCCGTGTTTGCTCTGCTCCAGATTTGTATCATTCCATTGGACTTTTGAGCTTGAATACTGTTCCTTATCTTCATATTTCATTTGTGTAAGAAAATAAAAACTTCCTTACATAAACGGAAATCTGCATTTATTGTTGCATTGCATACCATTATCAAATTGTAAAATGTTTGAATTTTTATATTGATATTTATGACATTTTTTAATTCAAGATTTCGTAATTTACATCAATAAAATTCTCTCATCTAAAAACGTACCCTGAGTAAAATTCATCCTTAAGCAAGTGTTGAATGTGTCTTCATTTTAGTCATGGCTGAAAAGTATGTGATGTTTATGTAAAAATCGCTAAAAACTGAAGAAAGAGCACAGTAATCATGATCTCCCTAACATAAAAATACTATAGTAAACTATAAATAATCTAAAATTAACATATTCATATCTAAATATTCTTATCTATTGATATTCCCAATTTAACACAGATTTTAACTTAAGGAGAAACTTGAAATTAAACCACCGATATTTGATTGAAACGCGAATTGTTACCTTTAAACTTTAGAAAGTAACAAATGTCCGTAGATCACTCCAAATTCTATTACAGCGAGTGTGTCCACCATGCATCAGTTGCAGCGCAGATTGTCCGATGCATTGAGTTCATGAGTCACTGGATTTTAAGGAAAAAAATTAATATTCCAGTCTTTTTAATTGCCTTCTCTCAGATGCTGAAGTCACATTCCTCCCTCCAGGTGCAGCGAAGTAGCCATTTGTTTTCCGGTTTACAGACTGTCAGTCAAGCTTTTGAGACGTATACGCATCTAGATTCGTAGTAGAGTGAATCTTTGCATCCGAAATACTCTTTCCTTCATTTTGTGAATATTTCCCGCTAGAAGCAATTGGTATGCATGATTGCAGTCATTTTCAGGAAGTCATGGCAACACTTCAGCTCAAGAAACGAGAAGTTCTTTTTTTCTAAATAATACTGCGGTACTTATGATGAATAGAAATATACTTCTATAGACCCCGATTTTAGTAATTGTTTGCGGTGACGCAAGAAATTGACAAATATAGAATTTGTTCAATTTTGGACAATTTTCCCCTTTTTCATTTGCTTGTCAAGGTTTTGGCAGATGTTTTCATTTTATCCAAGCCGTCCCTTTTTTCTCTCTCTCAAAATCGATGTTACGTGTATGAGGAATACCTTTAATGAGGTCATATTTGTATTTCTTATGCATACGAACCCAAACTTTGATGGATTGTATAGGGAAGATAAAGCCTTGAGCAGATAATCCAGTATCAAACAATTTTCTATAGAGCACTTTTACCGCATGTTCACAATTTTCTAGCATTGTACATTATTTCCTATTTTATTTATTGTCCATATATATTTAGCACAGATGACAGGAAACAGCTCAGACAAGTAAATTTTATATTTAAGTTTTCTTAAGTAAAAAGTACAATATATGAGGAACCATGATGGAAAACCTGGTGATTTGTGTCCTTTACCTTTGTGTCAGAGAAAGCACCTTCCGCAAAGGTAAATTTATTTTTCAGATTTGTACGATGTATTTGAAAAACTTATTCTGATTGAAAATTTAAAAAATATTATGAATTTAAGGAGCAGAGCCTTTGAATCTTCCCCCTGTCATAATATCAGAGTTTGAGTCGGAGTATTTTGTACCGATATTTCATTCAACTCCGTTTGTTCTGTCAAGCAAATAACACTGTAGTCAGGTGAGTAACAGTATATGATTACCTATGGAATTACAGATGGCGAGATGATAATGAAGAAAAGGATGGAAATATTAATTTATAATGTCAAATACATGTAGAATACAATTTACGATCTGTTGATCTAAAAGTTTTATGTCTTATTCATTTAAATAGGTACCAGAGGTATACAAATGATTCAAAGATTATGGAAAATGATCGCGTTTCCTTTAATCAGTCAACTCGTGAAAACGTCTTCAGAAATCTAGAAAAAGAGGACTTTGGTATCTATTATTGTATGGCAGAAAATACACTTGGAATTTCAGTCTCACAGTTTGTCAAATTATCGGAAGCAGGTAAAACATTTATATTTTTTTTAAATGTCATATTCTAATTAAGAATGTTCCGTCTACTTGATCAATATATAGGGCTCACGGCGAGTGTGGCCGGTCAGTAGGGGATGCTTATTCCTCCTACGCACCTGATCTCACTTCTGAAATTTCCAGGTTCCGTGTTTATGCCCTGTCACATATTTGTATTGAAGTTTTTATAAAATCGATCAATGTTATCTTCACCCTTTATCATTCATCATCATGATAGATCGAGAAATGATCAATATCAATTTCAGATCATCTGTAAATCTAAATTTCAAAGAAATATATAACACGGTTAATATAATAGGCATATGCTGGACCTTTTGAATACCTCACTACAACAAGCAATATTGCAATCCTTATAAATAACACCTGGATTTTCAACCATTTATTCCACTTTGCCAAGATACAGTATTAGTCAACATCGTCAAACATTATAGCACATTGATGTTTGAAAATCCATGCATGTGATTCATTTTTGAAGCATCAGAGATTATTGCTAGTAAAAAAAATGTTTCAGACAGTTTTAATAATTTAAATTGACCATCAAAATACAAAAAAGAATTATTTAAAAACCTTTATATGACAGCGATATCGATGAAACGAAAAATGCATTCAAAAACCACGCATTTAAATGTGTGAAATAATTACTTCGGGTTGATAAATTCTGGAGATGTAATTGCTATATTATCAGCCAAATCTTGATCATGAAATCTTTTTCTGTGTCTATTTACTTGTCAGTTACGTTGTAGTAAACATAGCTGAATTTGCCTTTATTTGTTACTGTAGTTCTTGACCAATTTTCTTCAATATTGAATGTGGAACAAACTTGCAGGGAATATCATCATTGCGCACTTACCTGTCATAATCAGCCACTTTGCCAACCAAAAACTGAATGTATAACAGAATGGGCACGTGGATATGGAGCCATACGAAGTATGTTTTACAAAGAACCTGTAACCTTGGATCGTGAGGGTAATCAAATCTTGTAAATCATCCACAATTGAAGGTTTGGTAAAATAGATGTTTCAGAATCTACAACGCCAATTTATACAAAAAACATCTGTATTTTCAACTTGGAAATCACATTTAGAGAAAAATAAAATAAGTTCTCATATATTAAAAAAAAAATTCATTCAGGAGACCTTCATTTTCTGAACATAAGTAAATCTGACGGGGGACAAAGTTACACATGTGGAATGTGGAATGAAAAGATCACTGTATTCAAAGTGAACAGTTTTTTCAAATCTCCAGATTAATGGTAATTGGATTTTTGGTTCGCATTTTTTCAGACGTGAAAGAAGTAACTGTTGTTTAATGCCAGTGGTCGAATTGACGTAAAAATACGCATGTTGGTTCAATTAATCAAGGTTAAATATATTATTTACTGGGTAATTTTAACAGTTTAAATTAATTTACCTGGTGTTGTAGATCGAACATTGTGTTCATTGAAAAAAATTGACAAACTAAAGTATAGACAAAATTAAATATGATGTAACTTACGGAAAAAATAAACAATAATTTATAGACCCTTCACAAAAGGAATTATGTTCAAACTTATAGTTTTTATGATTGTATTGATCCCAAAAAAGTCCCTTTTTATTTGAGTATTTACAGTACAATGTACGTATAACCTTTGGTTAGATATGTATGAGATGAAACAAATTTCGCCAATGTATTTTCCTTTGCTATCATTATCTTTTTATTATTGTTATAACTCCCGGAAATCATCTTAAATGACCTTTGAACAGTTTTACATTAATACAAATAATTCATTTATTTTATTAATAGAGAGTATCGAACACTTCACAAATCAACTTAAAATTATTTATATTTAATGCATTTAGATTCAATATCTACTTGTCCTCAGGTATCACCGATTAAACTTTTTGGAGGACAATTAAATTAATAACAGGATATCACCCACAAAGCTCTTACCTTGCCCAGTCTAAATTCTAAGTACACAAACAAGAGTTATCTCTTTTATTTGTTATTACTTGGACATTGACTTTACAATTTAAATTATTCTTCCTTTTCCGGTATGACATATCCCCACCAAATATCATTTTACTTGCAACATTTGATGAGGGCAGAAGAAAAAAGGCTTGCACAATTATTCACAATCTAATTAAAACTAGATGTTCCGAATCCGCTACCGCTTGTCAAACGGTAGCGGATTCAGAACGTCTTATTTTAATTCGATTGAAATTATTCAAAAATCTGAATTTAACACATTCATAAGATGTCCAAGGAAAATCATTTTTAATGTCAACAAACTCTATTCAAAACCGTTTTAGATAGTTTGTGGATAGAGAAAAATGTGCATGAAATCATTACATCTTTTAAACTTTTTTGCATTGATGGAAGATTTATTTAGTGCTATCGATATTCAAAGAATGATCTAAGACCAATGGCACTCTACTTTTTTCACTTACAAAATGAACAACCGTTGCTCTTTCTCTTCATGATTACACACAACGATATTCCTAGGGTTGATAACGTAAATATCAACAGAAAAGTTACACTCTGATACAATAATTATGTTCCCGTCAACTTTAAAAAACATTGGTTGTATAATCAACCACTAAGTATATCAAAAGAGACTATTGTAGATTCTACTAATGTGTCCATCCAGAGGCTATTTATCAAAATGGCGACAAAATTTTCATTCGAGAAAATGTTACCCTTCTATGTATTTTTTCTGGAAAGTAAGCACGTTTTCTTGATAATTTTCAATTTAGATTTAAAACATAATCTGGTTATCCCAAATTCTGCATGATGTATCAAAAATTTGATCACATCAGGCAATTCAATTTTTTGTTTCTTTTCACATGTATCTATAGTAGTTATTGTTCCTGTTAACAGCCCTGTTCCAAAAGTAGTATGGCAGAACAAAAACGGAACAACCATCACAACAAACCACAAATACGTCTTTAGTCAGTATGGACAACAGCTTCATATCTTGAATGTAACTTTTGATGATGAGGGTTTTTATAAATGTATAGCCAACAAAAACTTGACACTGCGTCCATTTCTCAATGTCACATGTAAGTAAAAGTTGTTTCTTTATACAGTTTTTAAAAATCCTCTGTAACGTGATTAGACATGAATCATAATTTAATTTTCACTAGAACAACTTTTTTCTTTTCTTTTTTAATTTTTCAATTAGCCCCTCCACTTTTTCCTGATGCTGGCAAACGTTTCATGACCAAAATAGTGAAGATTCTGAAAAAAGAGGCCACTGTTCTACTAAGCAACGCAATGTCTGTATCGGGAGAAATTGAGTCTTTTGTGATCAAATGGATGAAAATTGGAAAGAACTTGGATGAAGGTTTCTCTTTTTGTTAACAATGTGTAATGAATAATGTTTTAAGCGCAAACACGTTATTGGTTTCTTAGATTATTATACCCCCACTTTCTAAAGAAAGTTCGGGTATATTGTTGTTACTCATGTCCGTCCGTCCGTCCGTTCGTCCGTCTGTCACACTCTTCTTTCTCAAACTCCTCTTACATTTTACACAGTAGCTTAATCATCTTTAGGGAGATGGTTGGTGGTATCCTGTAGATGTGCATTAAGGTTTCGGAATTTTCATTTTCACCCTAGGGGTCAAATGGGGGTCGAAAAATGACGTTTTTTTTATGCAAAAAGCCCCTGGTTCCCTGAACTCCTCTTACATTTTACACAGTAGCCTAATCATCTTTTGGAAGATGGTTGGTGGTGTCCTGTAGATGTGCAGTAAGGTTTCGGATTTTTAATTTTCACTCTGGGGGGTCAAACAGAGGTCTAAAAATGACGTTTTTTAAATGCAAAAAGCTCCTGAATCCCTGAACTCCTCTTAAATTTTACACAGTAGCCTTATCATCTTTTGCGAGATGGTTAGAGGTATCCTGTAGCTGTGCAGTAAGGTTTCGGAATTTTCATTTTCACCTTAGGGGTCAAACAGGGGTCAAAAAATGACGTTTTTTATGCAAAAAGCCCCTGGTTCCCAGAACTCCTCTTACATTTTACACAGTAGCCTAATCATCTTTTTGGGAGATGGTTGGTGGTGTCCTGTAGATGTGCAGTAAGGTTTCGGAATTTTTATTTCTCCCCTGGGGGTCAAATGGGGGTCTTTTTTTTTTTTTTTAAAAAATATTTAACATGTTTAAACACCCTGGTTCCCAGAACTCCCCTTATATTTTATGCACTAGCCTTAAATTATTTGGAAGATGATTGTTTTTTTCTCCTGTGGATGTGTAAAATGGTTTTAAAATTTGCATTTCCATGTGGATGGCAAATAGGGGCAGGAAAAAAATGGCCACTCCCTAACCCATGGGGTCATGATTTGTACAAACTTGAATCTACGCTTCTTGGGAATGTTTCCATATTAATCATGCTTTTGTTGTTTTTTGAAAAGAAGAATCTTGAAGATTTTTTTTCGTTTTATTCCTATATTAAATTTTGATCCCTTATTGTGGCCTGACCCTATCCTTGGAGGTCATGATTTGAAAACTAGAAATATGTCCATAGGACATAAATGCCCCGCCGAATGTATATTACTAATGCAACATGGAAATTTGTATGAGTGTATGAAGTTTGATGAGAATATCTTGAACAGTTTCTTAAAAATTGAAACTAAAATCTTTAAAAAATTGATATAGATGATAAATTCTCACCAAATTATGTATAAGTGCATGCTTACATAAAAATATCTTAGATTGTTTCTTTAAAACTAAGCAAAATACAAATTAAAGAGAAGGGAGGTCAAGGTCACAGGAAAGTGCATGGTGAAAAGTTTTTGATGCAGTTGAATAGCCCTCACTAATACATATCAGCAGATTAGGTTTGATAAAAATATCTTGAATGATTTATTTAAAACTGAGCTTAACACTTATTTGAGAAAAGAGAGGTCAAGGTCAAAGGAAAGGTTGAGGTCAAAATGTTGATGCAGTTGAAAAGCTTACATCAGTATGTATTTACTATCAGCATATGAAAGTTGATAAAAATATCATAAAATGATTTCTTTAAAACTTTGATCCCCCATTGTGGTCCCACCCTACAACAAACTTTGAACACACTTGATTCTACAGTACCTGAGGATGATTCCATATCAAGATGACCAATCAGGGCTTTGTTGTTCTTGATTTTTAAAGATTTTTTTCTATATATTACTATGTAAGATTTTGATCCCCCATTGTGGCCCCACCCTATCCCCGGGGGTCATGATTTGGACTAACTTGAATCTACAGTACCTGAGGATGATTCCATATCGATATGACTAATTGTGGCTTTGTTGTTCTTGAGAAGAAGATTTTAAAAGAAGAATTTTCCTAAATATTCCAATGTAAAATTTTGATCCCCGATTGTGGCCCCACCCTACCCCGGATGTCATGATCTGCTCAAGACCTCAGGATCGAACCTCCTTAAAAAAGAATGTAAAATGTCAAGATACTAATTTTAAGTGAGGTCAAGGTCAAAGGAAAGTTAAGGTCAAAAAAGTTGATGAAATTGATAGCTATCAGCAGTATATATCAGCATATGAAGTTTGATAAATATATCTTGAATTGTTTATTCAATACTGATCTAGACACCAATTTAAGAAAAGTGAGGTCAAGGTCAAAGGAAAGGTCAAGGTCAAAAAGATTGATGCAGTTGAAAAGCTTACATCAGTATGTATCAGCATATGACGTTTGATTGAAGTCGGACATGACAAACACTATATGCCTCGGCCATATTCATGGCAGGGCATAAAAAACTTGAATCTACACTATGTGAGGATGTTTCCATATCAAAATGACTAACAAGCAAATTCAAAGAATTGTGGTCCCCTGCTTTCCGTGTCCTAGTGGATGGGATGCCATTATTTATGACATATTGTTTCAAATATGCACACCCTATCACATGTCATTCAAAAGTAATCACCAAAGTTAAAATTTTTGAAAATAAGGTAAAACATCAAGGTCAAGGGGTAAAAAATTCATAGCATGCTCGGAAACATATTGTTACATGTAATGTACATGTCAAATATGAAAGTCCTATCTCTTCTCAATCAAAAGTTGTAAGGAAATATAACATTTTTGAAAAGTAGGTTAAACTTCAAGGTCAATGTCACAGAGTCGAAAGTCATGATATATTTAGAAAGGTCTTGTCACATGTAATGTACATGTATAATATGAATGCCCTATCTTTTCTCTTTCAAAATGATCAATTTAAAATAATGTAAAATTTTTTGAAAAGTAGGTCAAACTTCAAGGTCAATATCATGGTTCAAAATTCATAGTATATTTAGAAAGTTCTTGTAGGTAATGTACATGTGAAATATGAAAGCCCTATCTCTTATTATTCAAAAGTTTTGACCAAGTTTAAATTTATTGTGACAGATGGACAGACTGACAAACAGACAGACTGACAGACAAACGAGATTTAATGTCCCCTAGGTCCCTTTCCCGAAAACGGATAATAATAATGCCCTTGCTGTTCTTGAGAAGAAGATTTATGATGGAAAAATCCCCTGCATTTTTCTATGTAAATCATTGGATCCCCATATGTGGCCCCACCCTACCCAAGTTGGTCATAATTTGAACAAATTTGAAGCTACACTAAGTCTATGTAAGGAAAGTTTCAACTTTTTGGGCCCAGTCAGTGGTTCTTGATAAGACTTTTTTAAATGATACCACCAAATTTTCACTAATTCTTGATTATCCCCCCTTGAAAGAGAGTGTGACCCTTCAGTTGAACAAACTTGAATCCCCTTTACCCGAAGATGCTTTGTGGCAGGGTTGGTTGAAATTGGCCCAGCGGTTCTACTGAAGAAGACAAAAATGTGAAAAGTTTACAGGCGGACAGATGGATGACAGACAAAATGTGATCAGAAAATGAGAAAAACTCAAGTGAGCTAAAAACTTATGATCACAAGTACTTGGAAAGAGTTACAGTATTTGAAAAGCAGTTTTTTTAATGCATTGTTTTGACAGAAGCTGAAAAGGTATGACTTGTATCCATGTTGAAAAAAACTTCACATTTCAGAAAACAGTATGATTAAAAATAGTTAATCAAGGTGCTTTGAGTAGCAAAATAAGCTAAACTGGTATAGCTAATTCAACCACAGAGCTTTAAGTCAATTTTAAAATGCACAACCTTTTCAACTCTTAATCATTCTTAAAATATTTATATCATTCATTTCTGATTCAAGGGAGAACTAGAGATATGACCAGAAGTATATCCATTGACTAATAAACATGTACATGTATATTGTGTTTTTTAAGTCATAAATGTTTGTTTGTTGTTAAATGTCCCTCTCGGGAATTTTTCACTCATATGGAGACACCACCACTTAAAATTAATGAAGACGTACAAGTCGGATTTGATGTTAACATTCATTAAAGGAGTTTTCAACAATTAAGACGTAAAGAGATAACTCCTTCCCCTCGCCCCTTCCCCTGTTTGTTCATGAAATTAATACTTTGTTTTGACATAAAAAAATGTGAATAAATACAAATAGTTTAATGGTCCATCTTTTTGAATGATTTTCATTCCTAATTCTACATTGGTTGACCCAAGTTCATGAATGAAATATCAAGCAATCTTATCATTGATGCACTTTTATTTAATTTGATGCAGTCATATTGTGAACATTTCCAGTTCATTAAGAGAGTGGGGATGACTTCCATGGGTTCATAACCTTAAACCATTAGATGTACATAACATAATAACACAAGAAACAAAATTATGTATAGTCAAATGGAAAAGTTTTCTACTATTTTGGTAGATGATGATCAGTGATCATTTGTCATTTCAGGGATAGGGAGCGGCTAGGGAGATTGGACCCCCCCCCCCTGGAATTTGCAGAGTTATTTAAATAGGACTATATACTGATTTACAGAAGCAAATAAAAAATGACTTTGGACGCCCTCCCCCTTTAAAAACATGGACCCCACCATCATTGTGTTTATTTTGTTTGTTTGTTTGTTTTTGTTTTTTTTCCTGGAAAAAATTCCTGGATCTGTGCCTGTAACTGAATGTAATGTCAACAACGGGAGATAACTCTTCAGAATGTGAAATTCGTCTACTGTGGCATCCGATGATCTTTGATACTTTTTAAACTTTTACCTAACCATTTGCATTTCGGTTATTTTACCCCAATCAATACTTAAACTTGTACTTACCGACTGTCATAGGTCCTGTCAACTTCATGAAATATAATCCAATTAAAACACAAAATGAATTAATTTCTACTGATATACATGTAATGATGTTTACACCACGCTGTACCATGTGCAATGATAATGGTAAAACTAGTACTAGTAGGGTGATGCAAGCCCAATGTGATGTAGAAATTTTCAAAAAGGTGTTCACATACATGAACAGTACAAGAACAAATTTTAAATTATCATAACAAACGATGTTTTAACATAACTTTGCCATCTAGGCCCATTTCCAAAAACAGGCAATTTGTGTGTTGGAGGGGGGGGGGACAAAAAATGATTGGGTATGGCTTCTCAAGAAGGTTTTTGCCTAATCAAATACTAAATAAAAGATTGCACATTTTGATAAATTCATCAAAAACGCTATTACTAAAATAATATTATTTGTTGTTGAGAAAATAAATTTAAAAAGTTCCAATTATGGGCCAAAAATTTATATCCCCCTTTTATCAAAACCTAAGAAGATGGGCGTACATGTCTTGCGATCTGCAGGAATCATGCGTACGAAACATTTATGGTTTAAATGTCCACGATTTGGTCGCCTGACCAGAAGTGGACAGACTTTACAAAGTTAAGCACATAGGAAAATGTTTAGATTTACATTGAAATAGCTTTCAAATTTGAAATATTTTAGTCCACTTATCTTAATAGTTACGATAACACAGTCAATTGATACTTCACACAAATAATAAACACCTAACAACTTATAGTCTCTGGGTCTTCTCTCCATTGTTTTAAAATGTTTGTTCGTTTCTTTGAATACAAATGCACACAAATGTCTTTTTAAAATCGTGGAGAGATGACCCAGAGATAGCAAATTTTTAGAAAAACGTGTTTAAAAATGTAACAATTTAACAATGTAACAGTTTAAGTATCGACGTGAAAAAAACTTTTCTCATCACACTGCTGAACTTGTCTCTGTATAATTCCCCTTCCTTTAAAACCTTTGCAATATACCTTAAAAAGATATCGACAGTTTCTAATCTTAATGTGGAAGCAAATGTGCTACGGGTCAAGAATGAATAATAAAGATTTGCAGGAGCTTCCAATAAAAAAAAATAATGATAATAAGGTAGGTTTTTCTGTAAATTGTGCATTGTGCAATGAACCACAGTTTATTACACCATCATATGAAAAAGGGGACAAGCCTTGTTCGTATACTTAGATTTCTAGGGTTGGAAGGTATGCCTTGACGTGATGTCAGGAATTGCTACTAACATGAAATTGTACTTTTAAACCTTTTTCTGCTAAAAATTCTAGTACAGTTCTGATGATAAACATGTAGTGTTGTATATGAAAATATAGGGTTCTTTCTCACCAATAATATTATAACAGAAAAATTATTATTCCAAAGGTATTCATACACTCCCTAACAAAAATTTACTATAGTTAACTATAGTTTACTATAGTTAACTATAGTGAAAACTTTGATACTTTTATTTACTATGAAACTTTACTCTGGAACTTTTTTTGAGATCTTAAAGCTTAAAATCTCTACAATTTGATAACAGTAATGTAAAATTTGGAAATAATGTATGAATAAATAACAAATAATATCTCAATTTAATATAAAAAATGTCAACATATGAATTGAAAAACAAAAAATATAACGATCTGAAATCCATAGTAAAAATACTGTGATTTACTATAGTGAAAAAACTTTGATACTATAGTAAACTATAGTTAACTATAGTAAACTATAGTTAACTATAGTACTTTTTTGTTAGGGAGCTGACAGGTCTTAATATTCGGGAATTACGTCATTTTCTGCCTTGTACCGTTGTAGCAGAAAAATACCTTCAGCAGAGACTTTTTCTAGAAAAAGTTGAAAAATCTTCTCAAAGCTCTTCGATATTTCACAGGATCGTTCTATGACATCACATTTAGACGTAATATTTGTGTTGACAACCTCTGTTTAGAGAATGAATACGGCCATCCACTGAAATAAAGGTCTCTAAGATGTCCCATTCGAAGAAAGTTTAGTTTACCGCAATTTCAGTAGGAAGAAAATGAAAAATTCGTCAGCAATTAACAAATTTGATTTGACATCCACTGAGTACTTTTAAGTAGTTACTTGTGCCGGAAATATAATGAAAATTTTCAATCTTTTAAAGTGCATAATCAAACATCTTCCGTGTCCTACAAAAATGTCCCGATGCGTACATGACGTCAAGTCAAATATATACATGTATTAGTTAATAGCTTATTGATAAAATATGTGGAGATAACAAACAGTATTCAAGCTCAAAAGTCCATTAAACATTACAAAATAGATGCAGAGCAAACACGGACCTCCAAAATATCAGAGGTGGGATCAGGTGCCATGAAGGATGAGCATCCCCTGCCGACCGGTCATACCCGCCGTGTGCTCCTTGTCATGATCGGGAAATAACGGGAAAATCCGTCGACAATTCAGTGTGTAAATCTATTCCGAATTCAAGAGGCAAAATTTGTAAAATTTATATCACTGGAAAGTACTTAAAATTACTTTCTATACATGTAGGTTTCATCCAATATTATCGGTTATTAAGAAAATTACAAAAGAATCGAAATGTCTTGCGGAAGTTTCCCCAACTGGCTAAAATGACGTCTGACGATCTTGAAATGCACGATTCGGGATGGTACGTCAATGTGGATTTCCTATTTTGTTTATTAACGTATTTTTGTACCCTTCAAACTTTGCATGTTTATTCTCGATCATTAGGTCTCTCTTTCCTTAGATTACTTTTTTTTTGAAAAAAATCACAATGAAACAATTATCTCATACAAAGGTAATTATTATTTTTAAATCTAAGCAATTGTACAGTTTTTATAGCTTGACCTTACATGGAATAGAAAACCCAATGATAGAAATTTAAAAATAATTCATCTTGATGAACTGCTTTAATGAAAAGAAGGTACGTGTAGCCAAGGTTCTGTCCACAAATTACTATTACCTCAATATGATAAATTATTCTCTAGATATATATCTTAAACACTGTCAAAACAATCCATTTCAACGCCTTTTTGGCTTTACAACGTTGAGTAGCAATTCCTGACTTTGCATCTTTATCATTGATATCGATGCGTGCGTGTGGTAATTATTTCAAATAGATTAAATTATATTACACAAATTTTACCTACTTCAAATTCAGCATTGCTGTAAAAATATCAGAGAAAAGTACATTTGAATCAGAATATTATTTTACCTAGAATATCAAAAATATTTATCAAATGTTCCTTGTTTTTAATCATTCGAACGGGGAATTTCCTGAAATATAAACCCTAAATAGAAACTAGGGCTCAAAATATTCTAACATGACAAACAATCTACAAAATGATAATCGTTTCCAAAATGCACATGAATTTCCTTCTACGATCCGTTTACGTTTTGTCGGAGTCAGATCTATACCAATTAAAAGTGTTATTGGACATATGTGTGCCTAACAATAATGCACAATGAAATATTTTGTACTTGGCAGCATTTTCGTTTATATTCACGGTAATGTATTAAACTCTAATGAGCATACTAACATGAATTCTATACTTTATTTTTTTTTAACATTCTTAAATTTCATTTCATTTTTATATGATTTTTTCATATCTGATAAATTAATTAGATAAGTCTTAAAGGAGTTTTATTACTGATCAATAGGAACATATCCATCCAAACTTCCTCCTATAATAACGTCAGACTTCAAGCAAGAGTATTTCTTACCTCGCTCTCATTCTTCTCCCTTGTCTCTACTCTGTAGAGCTCACAACGGTGAGATCACGTGAGTATGTTTAACCATACCTCTTATCCTTGAGCTACAGTGAAAATGAATTACAATCCAATGTAACAGTATTGTAAATATCATCTCAATTTGTTTTATGCCCTGTTCACAGATTCATATTGTTTGTAGGTTTTCTTGAGATCGATCATTGTTTCTTATCTTCGCCATTTTCATTGTACTCTATAAAGTATAAAGTAAGAAACAATATACAAAATGCTTACTGATTTCTATCGTTTGGACATGTTTTTCAGGTATCATTGGTTTAAAAATGACATGAAAGTCAACAACAATGGGCGCATTGCTGTGAACAAGAATGGCGAAATTGTCTTTCAAAATCTCACACAGAGTGATTTTGGTGTTTTCTATTGCTTGGCAAAAAATAAATATGGATCCTCAGTCTCCTTGTTTATCAAGATCTCTGAAGCGGGTGATAATAAAATTCTTTCTGTAAAACGTCCTGAGTAACACTCAAAAGGGTCAAAATTAGGGATGTCAACGAATAGTCGACTATTCGACCATCAGTAGAATGGACCGACGATCGAATAACGAAACGACATTCGAATAAATAGATTCAATAAAAGAGTGATAAAGAGGTGGAATTCTCATCCTAAAATTGAGAAACCGTCTTCCCTCAGACACAGTCGATAAGATAATTTTCCTCATTAAAAACTGCTGACTTTACATGTAGAAAGTACAGTGATTAGAAACGCTTCACTTCCGCGTGAATTATTGTCAATGAATGTTTTGTTTTTATGATAAAATTATCTCGCCATACTGCGCTTTCTTTGTAAAACTATTAATTGGACTTGATCTCATACCATGTACCCATTATAACCGTGACATATTTGGACACTACGATAATTATTATAAAATTAATATTCTTTTACATATTTTAAAGACATTTTGATAATTGATACAAAAAGTATATTCAAATATTTAACATTATCAAGGGCACCGTATGTGCCCCCCATCATTTTAATAAGCTTTAAAAAAAATATATCACACAGTCATTTTTTATGCTTCCTAAAAAGCCGACTTTACAGACCAATTTATGAACATGATTGACGGTGAAATCCTACATTTTGGAGAAATTAGCGGTCTTTATTAAGTAAATATAAACACACTATCCACATTTTAAGTCCATGTGAACATCTGTGTGTAACATTTGATGTAACTTTTTAATCAGTTTAAAAAAGGGGGATTTGAGATTAAATATGTGATGTACCAGTGAAGTTTGAAATAAAATTTCAGTTTCCGAAAAAGTTTCGAATATATTCGACTATTGTTCGAATAATGCAATCGAATATTCGACTAAAGAAAATAAATATTTGGACATCCCTAGTCAAAATTATATGTACAAAATACATATATCTACATAAATTCGTAAGAAAGTTTTGATTTGGTTTATTCCTATTTGTACAATGAAATTTCTAATTTCCGTGGATTGCCAATTTTTGCAGTTTCCGTGGCAAAAAGATAATTTGGAATCCATGTCCTCCATGAAATGCTTAATTTTCTACAAAAGTATCATTTGTGAATTCCGGCCACGAAATTCAATCTCCAGGAACCAATATTTTTTCTTCAAACCGCGATAATTAAAGTTCACGAAAATACGTGATTTTACAGTATTACATATATTAAGATGGACATGGTCTTTGATACATATGATCTCTTGATTTTCGATGCCAAATTTATTCTGGTTCTCTTTCATAACATTGCAATATTTACCATTTTGATTTTTCTCTTAAAATATATTTGTAGTTCTTGATAAATTTCCTACAAAGACATTGACACAAACTTGTGAAGAAAAACAACATTGCCAGCTAAATTGTCAGGATAAACCTAGATGTGAACCAATAAATGAGTGTCATATAGAATGGAAATATGGAATTGGGACTTTGAATACTATATCTGCGACCAATAAAACAGCTGTGGATGGATTGGGTAACAAAATTATAAATGCTAGTATATCATTGCGTACGAAAAGAAGCTAAGTATACCCTGTTAAAGAATTAAATTGGTGGAGGTAAATGCAAATTTTACAGGATAAAGTCTTCATAATCATCAGATCGTCATAAAAATTTTCACTGCATTTCAGAAGGGTTTTAAAACATAAAATCATATATATAGAAAAGCTCATTAGACCATAACATAACATAACTTTCATTATTAATTCCATTATTACAGGGAATCTTCATTTTCTAAGCGTAAGTAAATCTGATGGCAACAGAACATATGATTGTGGAATTTGGAATGAACGCACAAAGACACTTGTCAAGGGAGGTTCAATAAAACTTCAAATTCATGGTAAATTGAACACAAACGAACAAAATGTGAAATCTTTTTTTGGTTTAGTTTAATGATGCAATAATTGTAATTGAACTGGCAGATTCATTAGTTCTATACGAATATATTCAAGTGTTAATAAAATTTTAAAAAATCCCACGATTTTCAAAGTTTCGTCGAGTGTTTTGCAAATTTACTGAATATATTTATGTGCTTTTATAAGCATTAAAGTCTTTGCCTTTGATTTAGAAAAAGAAAGTTCAGATATCCATTTTTTTGTTGAAGAATTTCTTCTCTCTGTTTTCTGGAACAAAAAGAAAGAAAAAATAAACATTGTCATTGAAAAATGAGCCTTTAACCTATAGGCCTAAACTTGAAATTTTAAACTAAATTTTAAGTCATGCGGGGAGTTCTCAAAGTAGTCGCGCACTAGTAATACACTATGTATTCATGCTTAAAGTTAATAGTTTCAATATATAAACAAATATATTAATTTAGAAACATATGCCAGAAATGAAACCGTCCCCATTCGAGCAGTATATCAAAGTAGATATAAGGCAGTTGTTGGTCAATACGGAATACTGAAGTGTATTTTTTCTGGAAGGTGAGCTTTGTTTCCAATTTTTAAACACTTCTTTCAAGGTTTCATCTTTAAAAATATAATGCAAGATGCTTTCAAAGCTTTAGTGAACTATAATTTTATTTTCAAGCTCAGTTCCGGTTATAAAATGGAAAAACAAAAATGGTTCTGACATAGAATTAAATCATAGATACAGCATTAAGGATTATGGGAGACAACTACATATCATGAACGTAACCTTTGATGATGAGGGTGAATATCAATGTATAGCCGATGGCCACATTTCCCAGAATCCATTTCTTAATGTTACTTGTGAGTAAAAGACTTTTTGAATGAAAAAGATTTTTTTGTAAGGATCAACCACGAATTAAGAACTAGAGATGATTTTCTACTTTTTTCGTTTTTTTAGCCCCTCCGAAATTTGTTGAAAACAATAGATGTTTCCTGACCAAGATTGTAGAGAATTCTTCTAGTGAAGTAATTATCTTAACATGCGATGCTGTTTCTGCGCCAGAGGAAGCGAATCCTGGAGTGACCAAATGGATGAAAAACGGCAAGGTTATTAACTCATATCAAGGTATGTATATATTTATGTGTGTTTACTTTCCTTTCAACATGTGTGTGTGTGTGTGTGAGGGAGGGTGTGTGTGAGGGTGTGTGAGGGTGTGTGTGGTGTTTACTTTTTTCAATAATGAAAAAGGCTTGGCATACATGTATTTTTTTCATCTCAGCAAAATTGAAATTAAAGTGATGCAGTTCAGTTATTTAATCCAAAGGCATCTTTTTATGTAAGGAAAGAAGGTGCTTAGACATCACTTAGTTTCACATTGTTTTCATAACTTCAGCATATTGCCTCACGTCAGACTATTAATACAGTCAATATAAAGCTCTTTAATCGTAGAAAGTTGATTTTATGATAAATACTGGGAAAAAAATAATCATATCTGAGTCATGACTAGCAGTGAACTGTGTTTTTAGACTCTCCTCTTTTATACCACACCCCCTACCCAAAAATTAAGACTTTTAGGAGTCATTACCTTTTTGGCTTTCAACTTAAAGTTTAGCTAGTATAGCAAATAATAATGTTTATCTTTTGATATATTAACATTATTTATCTTTTTTAAAGATGTTGGAGACAGGTACCAACTTTCCAAGGACAATAAATCTCTTCATATCTACAACATAAACTCAGAAGGTACTGGTTGTTACGCGTGTGTGATAGAAAACAGCGAAGGGATTGCAGTGGCGAATTTTTTACTCCCTTTCGGTAATGTTATTTTATCATAAAACTTCAAAATTTTGAAATGACTGCAAGCCATTACAGGTAGAAATATGAACTTTCAGTGAAACAACGGCATTCAGTGGTTGAATGGTGGTGAATGGCATGAAGATTTCACTGACCTTCATATATCTTTTAGCGAAGATTCAGAGTATTTCACTGAACTTTCATTTTTCCTTTAGTGACCATTCAGTACATTTCCCTAATTTTTCATGTTGACTAAAGAGAAACTTAAATTTTCACCAAAATGTCAATGTTCATATTTTGGCGGTAATAATAGGTTTGTTAGGGTTTTTCTGATCATTAAATCGTTTGTCAACTTGTTATTGTTGAAATAGTATCCCTATCACCCTATTTACTTTATTTAATTTGAAATAAAGTTAAACATTGTATGTTGATTATTCTTTTTCAAGAAATTTTGATTTTTTTATCCAACATTTTTAATGTTTTCCGAGAAATTGTTTTACTTAGTATCCCATTTCTACAAATTGACAATGGAAGAATACATACATTTCAAAATGAATATTCTACTTTATAGTGAGAGCCGAATTTTTAACAATACAGCAAAGGATCTGTTTCTCTTTGCCATTGTTGTTCTTCTTTGCTCCTGTATTCAAAACATAATTTAATTTTTGATGTATTTTTTTTTCAGCTCACGTTATGGAAACTGCATTAAGAGCTATAATTATAGTTTTTGTTGGACTTTTACTATTGAGTGTAGCTGCAATTTTCGTATATAAAAGGTTAGAAGAATACTGTGATGTTCAGGATTTTTAACAAAAATTGTAAATTCATTGCAGTTGAACAATCAAATGTAGTGTTAACAATATTTTGTAGAATTTGCATTGTTACGAAAGACAAAGAATTAACTGCACGATTTCAGATCGCCAGAACAAGCAATCTATACTCAGATCCAAACGACAGTATGGGTCCTATTACAGAGGAGTCTGAATATACATATGTTGATAATCGAAATACACCCACAGGTAGCGATAGTGCTGAAGCTGTAACACTAATTCAGTGTGAAGATGTTTGTAATGAAAATAACTACAGCATTTTGGGAGAATGTAGAACTATGACGTCAGACTATGCTGAATCTAATCTTTATGATTATTCAGAAAATGTATGTGGAATATACAGTAGTACCTGTAGAGGAAAAGTTAACATAACAAACATTGAGTCAAATGATTGAGAGTGTTTCATATGGAGAATCAATCTTGATATCTTTGTGTTTGAGGATAATAATTATCGAAAATATGAGTTGTTGGGTCATTTACAATGTTTGAAAGGAATTTTAGGAAATACTGTAGATTCCTAAATGTACGCGAGGAATAAATTATCGCGTAATTACGCGAGAAGCACCGCTCGCGAAATAAAATTACTCGCTTTTATTTTTATGGTGCTTTAATGTATGTAAAATCTCTAGATAAATAAACCATTCGCGAATTATTATTCTCGCGATTTGACGCCCTTGGGTCATTTCGCGATAATAAGTACTCGCGTAAAATAAGGAATCTACAGTAATAGCTTGTAAAAGAATATCTGACTTCGTTAGGAGGTCATTCTTAAAAATTATGTTCATATGTAAGAATCTTGTTTTCAATTAAGAACTAAACTGCTTTCATGTAAGAAAATAAAAATTTCCTGATATGATCGGAAATCTACATTTGTTGTAGCATATTGTTATCAAATTCCTAAATATTAAATTTTGATATTGATATTTATTTATCTAGAATATGGTTATTTCGTTTGTTTAGAAAAATTTTTTGATTTAAGATAACTATAGTTTATCTAAAATAAACATATTCACATCTAAATATTTTTATTTAATGATATTCACAATTTAACACATATTTTAACTTTTAAAAAAATTGAATTAAAACCATCGATATTTGATTGAAACGCAGATTGTTACCTTTAAACTTAGGAAAGTAACAAGTATCCGTTGATCCCCACAGTTGTATAACAGTGAGTATGTCCACAATGCATCAGTTACAGCGCAGATAGTACGATGCATTGGGTTCATGAGTTTCTAGATTTTAGATAAAGAATTATTATTCCAGTCTTTTGAAGTGCCTGTTTCTCAGATGCTAAAGTCGCATTCCTCGTTCCTGGTGCAGCGCAGTAATCCTTTGTCTTCCGGTTCACGGACTGTTAGTCAAGCTTTTGAGACGTATGCCATCTAGAGGCGTAGTAGGGTGAATCTTTGCATCCGAAACACTCTTTCCTTCATTTTGAGAAAATTCCCGCTAGAAACAATTTGTATGCCTGATAACAGTAATTTTCAGGAAGCCTTGAAGACACTTAAGATAAAGAAACGAGAAGGCCTTTTTCTGAATAATACTGCGATATTTATCATGAACAGAAACATATTTATATAGACCCAGATTTTAGTCAATTGTTCGTCAAATGTGCATTTTGAAGCGACAGCGTGATGCAAAAATAAGGAAAATTGACAACAATAGAAATTTTGTATGACATGCAAAGGATGAATTGCCATAACTTATGTCAGGGGCCCCTTTTTCTAAGACAAATTCTAATAAATCTACAATTATTTTGGATTGTTTTTTAAATAAGAGTGAATAAAAAAGACACCTTGTGAACAGTTTTCAATATAGTTTGGATACTTTATAATTATGAGATATATCGCATTATTGTTGATTTTTTAAGACCAGGTTACAGCAAACTTCATCCTGGTTTTTAACAATATTTTGTTGTATGAATAAAGATGAAAAGAAAGGGCGGGTATTAGTACAATAGAGGGATATGCATCTCAAGACAGAATAGGTTTTCATATTACGTGACAATGTTTACCAGTCGAAACTCAAATTACAGATGTATTCATTGCAGTTGAACACCTCAAGCAATCAATTAATTATCAGATTACGATTATGTAGTTTTAAGTAGTTATTATTTTATTATAATCATCAATTAACAACGCTGTTGATTTATCATCTACTGATATAAAGAGGACAAAATTGCGAGGTTATATTCTTACAATTGCAAGTAGCATCGATCACATGTGAGAAGAATATATACCACATGATACACGTATACTAAAAATAGTTAAATAGTTAATATCTGGACAGGTGAGTAAGGTTAAAGGTCACGCGAGTTCACGCCTGGTAAATAACAATCGTTTACAACAGGGTCGGGTCGCCCGCCTAGCGCAGTGGTTAGAGCGTTTGCTTTAGAGTCGGTAGAGCTCGAGTAGAGTTGATCATTACGTAGCAGGTTCGAATCCCACTGTGGGACGTGGAGACCGGTCCTTCGGATAAAGCGAGGTCCCATGTCGCAGTAGGTGCTGGCACGAAAAAGATTCCTCGCTGCTCAATGGCCCTAAGTGTATATGTTAAGGCTGTCTGAAGGCTTAATATGCATTAAAAATACGCTATTAGATTTTGAGCTAGATTTTGATTTCAATTTGTAATCTATGTATACATGTGCAGTAAATTTGTGAAGAGAATTTAATAAGGTATTGTAAAAAAGCAAATTTTTGATGTCACATGACTGTGTTGATCACGTGACGGACACATAAATTTTCCTAATTGTTGCACAAAAATCCCATCAGCACAAGTGAATCAAACATAACATTATTGAGAACAGTTTGTTACATAAATCAATCAAACGTATTCTTGGGTATGTATAAAGTGCTGGGGGCAAATCTGAGTTTTTCTTATTAAAAAAATATTTCACTAGAAATTCAACATACCCACATACAAGGGGGCATTTTCCACTCGTCATCGCAATTTATACAAAATAGCTAGGATAATTACATACGATCCCCCCAGCAAAATACAGTTAGAAGACACATTTCTTTAGTAGATTCACATAGAAAATCTGCACTTTATCAATCACAATTCTACAAGTGGTAATCCAACTTATACTCATAGTTCCCTTTCTAAGGAAGAAATTCTTCAAAATCATATGTCAGTTTTGAATATTTTTAATATTCCAAACAACCAAAATGAATTCGAATTACCATATTTATATTGGATTCCGAAACTTCATAAAAGTCCTTACAAACAAAGATACATAGCGGGTTCCAGTAAATGTTCAACCAAGCCTCTATCTTTACTCCTCACTAAGATATTAACAGTGGTGAAGGAGAAACTTCAAGAGTACTGTGCAACAATATATTCGAGAAGTGGTGTAAATCAGATGTGGATACTTAAAAATTCCAAGAAACTTTTGGAAAATTTGAAATCACAAGATTTTACCAAAATCAACAGCTTAAAAACTTACGACTTTTCAACTTTATACACAACCATTCCCCACGATAAATTAAAGTCCATGCTTTTTGATATCATTGACAGCTGCTTTTTCAATAAAAATGGAACTCGTAAATATACTTACCTTGTCATTGGTCATTTGCAAAATTATTTTGTTAAAAAACATTCTGATTGTACACACAAGTACTCTGAAGTTGACATTAAAAAGATGCTTGAGTTTCTGATTGACAATATCTATGTGGTTTTTGGAGACCAGGTCTTCCAACAAACTATTGGAATTCCTATGGGTACCAATTGCGCCCCGTTATTAGCAGACCTTTTTTGTATTCATATGAAGCAGTATTTGTCCAAAATCTTGTG